CAAGTTAATTGAGAGGAGAGGAAGGCATCAACAGCCAGTTACTCCATTCAGGAGGAACAGACTGGAGGGCAGAATGTGAGGCAGTTCAAGAAAGAAGGGATTTTGCACAGCAGGGGAGAGGGCAGGAGTTAGGAAGATGCAACTGGCACTGTGCAGATGCCACAGAAGTAGAAAGAGTCAAAGAGAGACAAGGAGAGACTTTGCAAAAATCTCAGCTTTACACACACTGGCTCCAGTTCCCTTTCTTTCCTTCCTTTCACAAAAATCTCCAAGGCTTCTTCCCTTTTCCTTTGCCTCTCTGTCCCTTAGTGTTTGTGGTTGCCTCTGACTAAGATCCTTTGTAAGGGAAAATGAGTATGACATACTTACAAACAGCTTTTTGATTGGAGAGCTGCTTCCTTTTAGGCTGATGCCATTTGTGCACGAGAAGTTCTTGTCTATGTGTTGCTGTGTGTGTGAACATTAGGTCTGGAAAGTGTGATTGCCCACCTTGCAATCCAAGTGCAGCACAATGCAGGGAAATAACGAACTAATCAGTCATCCAGCCAAATGCTAATATTTGCATTTGCCATGGATACATAGAGAACAAAACTGCTGATGAAAATATTTTTCAGTTTTATTGCCGGCACAGATGATATCCTGAGAGAGGGAAAGTAGGTCTCATCCCAGCCCCAAAGGGATCACAGTTGTATTTGAAGTACTGTGAAATGCTTAGGGCTTTGTCTTTGTGATTCTCATTGGAGTCACTAAGACTGGTTGCTGATGTCCCAGGCAGGGCTTAGAGAATTAAACCATGGTATCATGAGACTCAAGATTTTCTGTGCAAGACTTAGAAACAAGAAGAAGCTTCTGTTTGGCTACTTAATTCACTGGTTAGCTGAAGATTTAACTGGCACATTGCTGTCTCAGCATTTAAATTGATAACCACGAGGAACACTTAGTTGGTCCTTTTTACGTCTCTTCCCCACACTCCCATCATCCCCACTAAATTGTCAGGAATAAGAATGCATTAAAACAAATACATATCAGACACTCAATTCTACATGCTCTGTTGTTTTGCATTCTGCAAATTCCCACTCCACTCCAGAATGACTCCATTTCAGTTAGGTGATAGGTAAAGTATGTAAGAATTGTTCTAGGCATTTCTAACCCTAGCCTAATCTGGTTTATTACCTTTCCATAAACTTGACCCTTTTCATCTTCTAGTGGTTGAAATATTAAGATACAGTTATTACGATTCTCAACAAAGTATAAATAAGAGCTTACGTCACAAAATAAAAGCAAAAGCTTACTGTAAGAAAGAAATGTTCATTTTAGCTGTCCTGAGAATTAGGAAAGAGAGGCACTGACTGGTAAAGATATAATAGAAAAAAAGCCCCATGAAGATGAAAAAGCTATTATCTCTTAGATCATTTCACCTCTCTGCAAGTACAATATTGTGCTCCTCTGAGGATGCAATTTAAACTGATAGTGAATCACAGAACTCCTTTGCAGCCCTTCCTTGGGCAGGCAGCTCCTCAGTGCAGTTGGCTCCTAATGAACCTTTGTTGTGAGTGCAAAAATATCAGGATTGAAGTCAAGTGCTCTTCAATTAAAGATATATCTAGGAAGGTGGGAACAAGTAGGAATTTTGACAGCCATTTCAGCAGTGCTATCAAAATAAAACTGCTTTGCAAAACTACATCCATCTTGGTTTTGAACCTCATTAAAAAAGAGAACCAATATTGAGGGAGAGGAGAGTTGAGGAAAGGAGAAAAGTTTAAAAAAATACCAGAATGATGTATTTGGTCATCATTAGAACTGTTCTGAGTTTTCATTTTGAAATGAGGTCTTTGTTTCCATTTTTAACTTGGAAAATATAGAAGAAAATGTCTGAAAGTTGAAATCTAATTAATGGCTTAAGAAAAAGAATCTTGATGGGAAATTTCAACATCAAATCTGAAATTATCACAGTCATTCGTGAAATTTGGACTTTCATCCCTCTCATAGCCCTACTGAGCAGATACACTCCTCAAGTGTTTGGAATAAAATAATTTTGCAATCAATGGATTAAAATGTAAACCTGGACATATATGTTTACCACAGCACCATCATCACTTGAAAAGCAAACTTGTGTTGCTGCAGGCTTGGATTCATCTAGCAAAAGAGGGAGGAAAAAAATATTCTGAACTTGCAGATGTTTTTCCCGGCGGAGTAATGACTCTTATGTAAATAATCACTTTATTTTGCAAGTGCATAGACTTTCATTCCACAAATTGATTTCACCTTTCCTGCCCTTTTCTCTGGTGCAAGCTTCTGCTAAATCTAGCAAGTCTCATTATTCTGTTTTTAAATATCAAAGCTATAAAAATCCAGGGCAGAGTTATGTAGGAACCTCATTGTTTTTGAGTAACATCTTGAAACCTCCAAGTTGGTATCAAATAAAAATCTTGGTTTGATAGCACTGGAATGGCAGATGTAGTTTATCAGTAATATGGAAGGAATGCAGCTTTTTAACATCATCTTCTGTGGTCAGGTAATGAGTGAGAAAAAAATAGACATACAATAAACATCAGAAGTGATGGAGCAGTCTGGTAAATAACTTCCTTTGCTGCAATACAACTATTTTTCAGTTACACATGAAACATGCAGTGTGCCGTTGCTTGCTCCACCTCTGTACGTGGCAAACCACATTTCCAGTGCTCTGCAACTCTGGCCCTAAAATTCACGATCAGGGAACAGAGCAGGGGGACACTCAGTGTGGTATGCCCAGGCCCACCCCTGTCACTTCACAGAAATAACTGGGTGTACTTGGAAATTATACCATTGGAAAGAAGACCAGAATCTTCCCCTAAATCTTTGTCTGTTCATAAATTGTCACTGTCAGTTTTCAGCAACTCTGTGTTATGAGCTGCAGTTGGGTTTTTTTTTCTCTTTTTTGCTGTCTTTAATGATACATGTGCATGTCTCATGAATATGATTTATTGTTTCTTTTTGTAAGCTAAAATGGTTGGAGGAAGGGTATGGCACTTATTCCTGAGGGAAGATCAGATAGTAACTTGCCTGAGGAAAATTTGTTCTAGGCAGTAAGTGATTAGTTCTTGTTCCTAGAACTTGAAAGAATATCTTTCTCTGATAATTATGTCTTAGGGAGTATATTGTGATATATTTCAGCTATGAGTATGAATATTAGTGCCTTTAACAATTTTCTAGCCTGTTGTTTCAGGAATACTTTGTCAGTGAATTTCACAGGTTGATTACACATTGTTTAACAAAATGCCAGTTTTCACTGTCTCCTTAGACTGTTCATTTTCACAGTATCTGGTTGTGAGATAGGCATCTGTTACATTGGCTTTGTTTTCAGCTCTCAAAGTTTCCATACCTTCTATGTGGAAATCTTCTGGTTCCTGTAAGGATTGCTCCTTTCTCCTAGGTGGTCTTTTTTTGTTTGTTTACTCCTGTTTATGGAAAAATGTTGTGTGTGGCAGCAAAAGCTGAACACAGAGCTCAGTGTGAAGCTCGGTACTGATGCAGGGATTGCCACTGTGATGAGCCCAGTTTTTGTCTAGCTCAGCTTTCCCTCTCTGATAGATACCATTGCTAAGTGTTTCAGGGGAAAGTGCAACACAGCCCTCAGGAAGGAAATAATGAACCTAACACAGAAGGTTTCTCCCTATCAGTCTTTAAAGCTGTGCCTTGAAAAATGAGATTCTATATGTTTATTTATTATACTCAGTGTAAAGCTGCTCTTGGGGTTTTGTTGTAACCATAACTCTCTCATCCTTTCTGATATCCTGCTATTCTCATAGTCTCAATGATGTTTTGTAACAATGAGTTTCACCTCAGGCTAATCAAGTACTCTAGGAAAAGATGTTTACCTTTATCAATTTTATATGTGTTGTCTTCAATTTCACTTAATGTCCACAAGTGTAGCTTTATTTCCCTTTTTCTAGCTTTCATTATTTTCTAAGCCTCTGTCTTCCATTATTCATCTCCTGTCTAAAGCAAACAGTTCCAAATGTCTCAGTCATCTCTACTTGATTTGTAAGCTTTTAAGTATTTTTATTTCATTTTTGTCCCTGTCCTAATTTTGCAGTGTACTTTTTAAAGATTAGAATTCAAGGCATGACTCTGATCTGTGTGTTGGCAATGGGATATTACTTGTAAAATTATGATTCTTTTGACTATTTTTTGCATTTTTCATTTCATTTTCTCTGGTGATCCCATGTGTGTTGGAAAGATTTCAGTAGAATGTTCAGCACTATGCAGATTTGTACAACACCTCCCACAAATACATCTTCACTTACCTGAGCATCCTACAAGTGCTTCAGTTAGCATTTGTCACTGTGCTTTCTTGGTTGTTTACCAATGAAAGGGCAAACTGTGTGTTTTGGAAGCATTTTAGTGTGGTTTATTTTTGTTTTCTAAATGATCAAGTATATGTAAAATAGAGGTGAAAGACAGTCATTTGGAGTAGCTAATTCAGTAGTGTTCTGCTCCTTGTGAAACTAAACTGTCTGAAATGAAGCCCACGTTTCTTCCCGCAGAGAGGTTTAAATAATTGCAGTTGCTCTACAGTTGAAACTATTAAATAATAATCTTTTGAGGAGTTGATCTTGAGGTGCCTCAGCACTGAAGTTTAGCCTCCACATTTTAAAACACCACTAAGTCCCTTTTCCCAGAGTGCTGCCCAAGCCTGAATTTATCCAGTTGTGGCTGATTCTCATCTATGAAAATGCAGTTTGTCACAAGGTATTGGAAAACAGATGATCTCCCAAGTCAGAGGCTGCTTCCATAACTGGTGGGTTTTCATCACTCAGAGAAACTTTCTCAAACTATTTCTCACATATAAGACCTTTGTAAAGGAGGATGTAGAGAAGGTGTGATGATTGATAGAAAACGTCTAGGCCATGCTGAACTTTCGCTCCTGATGAAGGAGAATTTTGGCAAGAAATTAGAGCTGAAAAATAGAAGTCCAGATTGCTCATCTTTTATTATTTCTTTTTTTTTTTGATCCCCAGATCTAAACGTCCAGTGCCAGTTTCAACCACAGCTCCCAGAATTGACTCTCCTCGGGCTGTAATCCCCCACCAGAAGGTAAGTGACACATTCTCAGCCAAAATGAACACCATTTTTATCTGCTGCAGTGAAGGTAAATACCTACTACAGGAAATAGCTTTTGCCTGCCCCAAATAAGTAAACGTTGAATGAATGCAGAGGCAGCAAACTGCTGCAATGCAATTAGTGATCTGTATTTTCCTAATTTTTGATTAGCAGGACCAAAGCCTCCAGCCAGCCTCTGATGTGATTTTGTCTAACCCATTCTGAGCAGCTTGTTTTCATCTGGGCTGCAAGAGGCTACTAAAGCTTCTCAAAACATACATTAGCTTTTGTAGATTATTGGGGGAAAACCATTAGCCTGTACGTCTCTCTCTCCAAATCCTGACTAGAACTGAACAGACACTGACTTGGAAAGAGGACATGAGGCCTTTTGAAAGCTTGCATCATATTGCACTCTTGTCACAGTATTCAAGAAATGAGAATAAAAAAATAAAGATGATAAGTCAATTTAATGAATAACATCAAGTGGCAGAGGAAATGGATGGCTTGGTTTCTGTTGTCAAAGCTCTGCATCTTTCATAAAATAAACATTCATTTTAAAACAAACAGCATTCATTGACTGTACCTGGCAACTCATCTTCTGTATCTTTGGAGGCACTGAGGAGCAAGGATACCTGAAAGATGGTGTATATCCTTAGGCTCAAGCCCTGGGTAGGATATTAGGATGTTTGTAGTGCTGACACGTTTCATTAGCTAAATGGAGAGGAGGTAAAATCTCCATTGCTGCAACTTATCCCTTCTGTCAGTGCCAGTTTCATCTCTACCATGCACTAAAAAAATAAGAAGCAAAAGATCAAAACACATGGGGAATTAGATGATGTTCTACTGGTTTTGGCAGTTCTGACATCCATAGATCAATTTTAAGTAATTTTTATAAACACTATACCTTCCAAATTCAGAGCAGAAGGTAACATCATCCCTGAAACTGCTTCAAATAGGTTCAAACTAACAGAGGAGAATGCACTTGGGGAGAATAATTTGATTCAGTTTTATTTTGTGAAATTTTAAATGAACCTGACTGGCCATTTATTAGTTGAGACAAAAATAATGTTATTTCAGACTGGATCTTGTAAACTTTTTGGCAAGGGAAAATTAAATTAAAGATTTATCTTGCTCAGAGTTGTTTCTGCTTATATCATGATTTTATAAAAGTTATCTTGGAGAAAGTTACTGGAAGAGTCACCGAACAGTATCGTGAAATTGCTGTAACAAAAGCGATGGATCATTTTTTTTAGTTAGACCAGTGTTTGACTGCACCAGCAAAATAATAGGGACAGGAAGGGGAGATATTTCTTATTTCCCCTCAAGAATTAGACAGAATTCTGTTAGTTTTCAAGGCAGAGAGTAGATATGTCTCTTCAGAGTTATTCACGATCACAAGACTGACAGCTACCTTTTGAGACTCTCTTTGGCACCTGCACAGGTATGAAACATTTGTCTGCTTCCACCACAGTCCCACTGAGCTTTTATATATGGGATTTTCATGACTCTGTGTTAGGTGCATTTCTTCCTTGTCAAGTGTCAATTTTAAAATTACTGCCATAGGTATTCAAACCTGTTTATCACACAAAACATTTTCCTCCCTTAACTATCTACCATATAAAAAAGTTAACTCTTTGTGCTGTAGGGTTTTCTTAAAGGTCCTAAAAGAGCCTTTGGCATGAAAGCCATAAGGATATTTTATATTTTCTATCCTAACCCTTCAGAGAGAGGTGAGGATCAAAGGACTCAACCCATTTTCAGAAGCTTGCTGTCTCAGATTTTGAGAATTCTGTGTGTTGGTGCTTAGGAAATGTTTATAGGAGCTGTTCTGAATGGGCTACAGGTAGTGCTGGCAGCTGGAAAAGAGAGTTACTGGAACATTTCTAGAGGAAAAGGGTGGCATCCAGGATAAGGTATGCTGGGAAACAGTCTATTCAGGAGTATCTTAGGTGTAGGGCCTTTGGCCCAGAGGGAAGAGGTACCAGTAGAGTGCTGGAGTGCGAACCCTTTGCAGGTCAAGAGGAGGGACATTTATATCACTGGTCTACACTAGTAGACAACAGTAATTTTTAAGTGAAGAAGAATTCTTCTCTGGAGGTAGTTTGGAAGGGAATGAAATCATTGAACCATCAGAGAAGCCTCAAAATCCAGAATAAAAATTCTTTACTGATAAACAATGGTATGGTGATGTTGCAGTAAGGTATGGTACAGTAAATACACTTTAAAAATCAAGGTTTCTTTGCTTGTCCCTTTATTATTTCTAGTAACAGTATCATTGTAGAAATGAGGAATTCTGTGACACATAGGCAGAAGCTGTCACCTCCACATCACTGCTTGACAGTGTTTAGACTGATGGCTCACATGAAGTGAATTTGACTGTATTTAAAAAAAAAACAGCAAAAAACTGCATTACAGGACAGTCGTGACAGTGTCATCCTCAAACATCAAGAGAAGCTTTTCTCACCCTTCTCTGGTTAAGGTTAAGGCATGTCAATGTGAGCTAAACAATCTGCATGTGCAAGTTCAGTGTCTAGTTTAAACCTGAAATTCTCTTGTACATAATGCTGATCTGATTGCAGCTTACACTAATTTTCAAGCATGCATTTCTTCTTTGAGTACTGTGGTCTTGGGATTTTTGTGTTTTAGGAAAATAGGCACACATTCTGTCACAAAGGTCAGTCATTCTTTCACATAGCTGATCAATGTTATGGATGATACAGGTTCTGCAACTATAAATAAGGCACCAACTGAGCTGTGGGGATATTATTGGAAATACATGTTTGATTTATTTGCAGTTTCACTATATCTTTATCTGACATTAATCTCAAACTGGAAACAATGCTCATTTAGTTTAGTCAGTCTTTCTCAATTAGTCAAAAGATTTAGTAGTCTTTTGCACAGGTGCGACATAGAAGGATATAGTTAATGTTGAAAGCATTCAAATAACAATAAGCATAAACATGAGTCCAAGGACTGAAACTAAGCCATCATCAGTCAGTGAGTTCCTGCAGCTCTTCAGGGGTGACACAACACAGGTGAAGATTCAGCTCAGTGCAGTTCAAAACATTCCAGCTGAAGCTTTAAGGGTAAGCACAGCTTTAACATTTGTCCCTTTGCATGAAGGTATTGACAGCCTCTTTAATTTTAACAGTATGACTGTGTGCTGTGATGTTTATGAAATAGTGATTATTTTGGAGTCCCAGTGAGGATCTTGTAATACTCATGATTTGTTTCTGCCAAATTTGGGAACCTATGTGGCTAAGAGAACATAGAAGAAGAGATGATTGACTTTTTAAGTAAAGCATAGGATGGAAGAGCTGGCTCAGCCAAAAGCAGTTTGTTGGATATCTTTGAGCAGAGTCATTTGGTGCCTCCATTACCTTCTTTCTATAAAAAGTTTTAAAAAGAACAACTGCTTCTTGGACATGTTGGGTGGTGAAATTCATTAGTACTGTTAAAATTGTTCTCTCAGAAGTGCAAAAGGTGGGTAAGAACTGTCGGGTCATAGCAATAGATAAATAGAAAATGAGCTGTCAAAGGAAGAGGATCTGCAAAACTTGGTATCATGCCGTCCAACATAAATTTGTTTCTCGCTTCTCTGATCCCTAATAAGGAGGTTTTGCCTTTCACAGAAACTGGATGTTTATAATAATAATATTTCAGAATGAAACTCCTCTACATTTATCAGATTTAAGCTCATTCACTGACATGACGCTGGGAAATTAAAACGCAGTTTTCCTCTTGCAGTGAGGAATCGCTGCCCGATCCCGGCATCTTTCTCGAGGGAAGCCCATTGCTCAGTGTCAGAGCCTCCTCTTCTGGTCGGCTGCAGGGCTAGCATCAGACTCCCGTAGTTGGAAATGCCGTCTTGCTTTTCCAGGCACGGAAACTGGAACAGAACGGGATGAGAGACAGGGAACAGGGGAACGTTTGTTACTGTTGGCTGCATTCCATGTGATGCAATGCCCAAAGCTGTGCTGCTGCTCAGTATTAGAAATTTGCCCCTCACAGACAGAAATGGTTTCAGAAATGCTGCATTGATCTGGTTTTGCCATTGGACAGGGGAAAAAAAATTCAAAAATACCCTACCAGGAATAAACTGAATGAGGGATTCTTTGTCAAACACAAAAGGAAAGAGCTAAATATGCTGATGATTGGGCAGTAATTCCTTAGAAGAAGTTATACTGCTACTCTCTGATACACTTCCTCAAAATGGAGAATGCTAACCTGGCACTGCTGGGTTCTTAGGAATTCTAGTGTTGAGTTACCATCATGCTGGTGTTCCAGCTGGTAATTGTTTCAGGAGTGAAACCAAAATTCCATCCATGTCATAAAGGTGAGCAAAATTATCAACCATCATTTTTTATGGTTATCCTATAATTTTCCCTTTGCCTACTGTTACTGTCCGGTAACCCAAAAACTTTGAAAATGCATTTGGATTAAAAAAAAATCTGGCATTTCTCTCATTAACAGTTGAAACTGATACTTTTTGATCAGCTCTCCTTGCATGTCCTTTTTATTTTGAGGTTTAAAAAGGAAACCCAGAGTTAACAAAGAGCCAGAGAGTTTTCAGGGTAACAAACAAATATAACTCTGGCATATCCTTTTTCTTCTCTCTTGCCTCTATATTTATTTTCTGTTTAATAATTGTTTTGTCCCTCTCTGCTGGCACGTGAAACTCATTTGCACAAGTGATGACTTAATTTTTGAACAAGACCTTGTGCATTTGTGCTTCTTTTTCAACACATTTTTATAGACAACCTCTGTTTTCTGTTTATTTAACGATATCTCAAAGCTTGCAATAAGCCACTGAGGGGGAGGCTGTTAGCTGTTTTCAATGTCAGTGTATAGTGACCAAAGTATTTATTTCAAATGTAGTTATTTAAAAAGGCACAGTCTGAAAAATTGCTTTTAGGATTATCTGTTCCTACAGCCTCGGGCAGCTATTAATGCCAGCTAAAATCTCTTCCTGTTTATTACTACGAAAAATTATCTCAGTTCATTTTATCTGCCTTACTTTTTTGAATCAAAATGTCTTCAATATGTTTAATGGTATGATTAATTATATCCTTAGACCTTTAGGAGTTTTTTTTCAATAAATTTTAATTAATCAGGCCATGTTATCTTGATTTTTTTCAAATGTATGCTTCCATAGAAAAATCCAAGAGGACAACATAAATATTTATTTTTCTAGTGAACCTTAGTATCAAAATTAGTAAATCACATTAATGATAACCAATAGTAGCAAAAGTAGAAGATCAGAAGGCAGATTATTCTCAGGCCTGTGTTTCATGCAAGGCTGTGGAGAAGATGAGTGATTGAGCCCAAATGAGGCAAAATGTCACTGCAGGCCACCACCTGCTCTTGAACTGGCTTTCATTGAGGCCAGATTGTGGCTCCATTGCCTCTTCAGGATAATGTCCCCTGCCTGTCCCCATCCCCTGAGCTGGACTGCAGCAGGCAGGATTCCTGGTGGGCCTCTTAACTGTGAGCATCTGGATCCCGCTTGTGGCTGCAGCATGTCCATGTCCAGAGAGAGAGGCTGAACTGATCCTTTTCCTGTAACAAAAACTACGTAGCCCAAGTCAGGCTGGAGCCAGGATCTTCTGCAATAAACTAGAATATCCCAACTCTAGAAAAATCTGTAAATTGCAAAGCATTCAAATAGTTCATTGGATAGCTCAGCTATAGACTTTTTTTTTTTAATGCAAAGCACATAATTACAGACAAACAGAAGTGAGGAATAGAACAGTTTTTGAAACTATGTAACTCGTTCTTTTAAAATGTGCTAATGAGGTCCGATATTCAGGGTGATAAAATGGCAAACATTAAAGAGATGTTAAAGGTAATCGACATCAGAATCTAGCTATTCATGTTCCAGTCACCAAGCCTTTAGAAGTGAAAGAATAGCAAAACCAAGAGTAAAGGTATAAAATTCCCACCTGAAAGTGAATTTCCTATTTCTCTGTAATAAAATTGTCCTTATTTCAGGTAGACAGGCTTCCAGAAAGTTTAGAGCTGTGGTCACTACACGCTACCAGTAGTTGGAAGGAGAGGAGGCGATTTAACCCTAATGGTGCTCTGTGCTTCCCACAAGGTACTGAGTACCCTTCAGGCCCAGGTGTTGCACCAGAAGGAGCTTGAAGCAGTGATAAGGTGTTTTTAGGCAACAAAAGCACAGAACTTCTACATGAACGTACCTCAGAACTCACATGACAACTTATCACCTGCATTGTGTTGCTGATAAAGCACTATTTTTCTTTTTTTAGTATCACCTTTATTTTGGTTTAACTAAGTTGCATTAATAGTGAATCATTTATTAAACTGAAGTGTAGGACTGTGTTTTTCCCGGATGATTCTTCTCTAGATTGTTTCTAATTTAAGCACCAGCACAGACTTCTATGGGTATAGCTATTGCGGGAGAGATTCCTGTGACTTGCACCCTGGTGTCCTAGTTAGGAATATTATCTGGGACATGACAGTGGGATCATGCACACATCATCAACGTAGTCATGTACACATTCCTTCAAGTGTAAATTATGCAGGAATGATCCTCATAGAAACATCTTCTCTGTGGAGCAGTGCCTGTCCTCGAATCGTGTTGGTCTATTTGCTAACCCTGCTGCATGGCCTAATTAGCATGAACCAGAGCCCAGGAAAGCAGTGCCATGTGTGAGCTTCCAGAATTCACAGTGCACTCATGGAAAATAGAAAATGGAAAATGGCGTGGTTTAGAATCATTATGTATTTCTAATAATGGCATTGACTTTTATGTTTGTATATTATCTAAAATGATTCTGACCTCAAGATGTTTTTTAAAGGTTTTTAAATATACTAAAAATTGATGGACAGCACTGTGTTTGTATAAAATTATTGCTGTGAGGTTGACTAGTCGCAAATGCTCTTTTCATGTTAAGCTTTCTTTGTTGATTTCAACTAAAACCCAGTAAAAAATGCCTGAGTATGTTTTGCTTCCCTTATTTGGAAACAATGCATTTCTTTGTTGAAAATCTTCCCCAAAAGTTTGAATGCTTTGGCCCCAATCTATTTATTGCAAGTTTATCAATATGTTTAAAGCAGTAATTGCAGATGTTATTTTTGCATGTGTTCTATGATTGCTCTTTTCTTTTTTTTCTTTTCTTGGCCTGCATGTTTGCTACTACAGGAACCTGCTTGGGAAATCAATGGCAACAGAACAACCTTCAGCCCTCTAACTAACACGGCGACTGGGCCTGTGGGTAGTGGTTTAGCAACCAATGGAACGTTTTCAGGCTACCTCAACCAGCAAGAGATCAGCTTTTCAAATAGTTCTTCCTACTCAAAGACTACCACAGTTAGATCTTCCATGTCCTCTCAGTCTGTGACTCCTGACATTTCACCTGCAAAGAGTACTCTAGGTTCCAAACCAAGCCCTGTGCTGGCTGGTGGCAATAGCCCTGCACACCAGCTGAGCCCTGCAAGGCAGTATAACAACCCCATTGGCCTTTACTCAGCAGAGACTCTCAGGGAAATGGCTGAGATGCATAAATTAAGTCTCAACCGAAGGGCTTCAGAAGGTGGACTTCCTAGAGGGTAGGTAACATATTTAATATTTCAATAAGTAATGAATTTGCTGAAAAATGAGTGTAATAGTACCTACCCTACTGTGCTTTTATCTGGTAATCATGATTAAGGTGTGGAACAATCATTAAGTTTTCCAGTAGCCCCCAAGACATATCCACATTGTCATCACAGGATAAGTCTTGTTCTTTGGTATCTGAAGTGCAACATGGGTTGGCAATAGTCACCAGAGCATGAGGAGGAACACTAGGACTGAAGTGACTGGGATTGTCTCGGGGTTCTGGCACACAGCAGTTTTAACTGATGCCTGCAGTCTCACAGAACCAAGTATTGCTGTTGGCCATTAGAGCAGCTGCCATCAACCAGGTCTATCTTTGGTACTTTGCTAAAGACAAATGGCTTGGACCAGCAAATCTGACGTGCTCGGCTACTGGAATGTCCTGCTGTAGTTCCTGCCTTAATGTATTGGCTTTTCTATGCAAAATGAGTCAAAATTGCAATATTTTGGACATTGTCGGGTTTGGATGTTGTCTGTCTTGCATCCATTAGCTTTGCTGTTAACTTGTATGTAACAATGAACGATCTCCAGATACTGCCCAGATAGTTTGACCCCATGCTGTCCAAGGTTTTACATATTACTCTGTTGCAGATCAACTGTTTTCTTAGAAGGTTTGTGAAATGAGGACCTGGGACTACAGTACATGAGAAAGAGCAATGAGAAACAGGTTTTCCTAATTTTCCTGCCTTCATGTACTAATTGGCAAACAAATGTAATTTTTTAGTTTGTTTATTTGTGTTTTGGGGTTTTTTTTAATTAAGATGAATTTCTTATTATGAATATGGGGAAAAGTGTACTTTTGACACTAGGGACTTGGCTATATAAGGAAAAACAGAAAATTCAGACAATCCACTGAGGTCTGATAGCAAATGCATATCTTCAAGTACTTTATATCTCTTTGCAGGAGCTCTTTGCAAGAGCAAAACCAAGGGGTTTAACTTGTAGCAAAGTAAGGATATTTTATCCTTATAAAAGAGCATAAGTATGTGTTCTAGATGATTCAGGTAGTTTATATGATTCATTGCAACTCTCTTGAGGACTCGGCATTAACAATCCTAATTAAGTTATCTGCAAAAATCCTATCCTCCCTTCTCATACTGGATAATTAAGAAAAGCAATTACTGTTTAGAAGAAAATTATTTCAGTTAACAAAATCAGCAAAATAAACCTCAGAATGCTTCTCTCTTAATTTACAATTTTCTTGAAGAATACTAATCCTTGTTTTTTTTCAATATGCAGAGTTTCCAGGGAGTATATCTCACTATCTTTTTCCCACTATCTTCACAACCCTCCTTAACATCTGCAAGGGTGAGGGTGAAGTGGCTGTATTTTGGATAGCTCAGCATTGTGACTGTTTGTTATCAGAATTCCAACCCAGTTGCATCCATCACTCATCAAAGGCTATGTGAGCCTTTATTTTCATGCCAGAGGGCATTGCAATAAGACTACATGATATCACAGTGATTAGTGGGGTGCAAAAAAGGTATACCTGCAGAAAACACTTCCCTGTCTTCGCTCTGCTGCTTTTTCGTGTTTTATGTCCCTTCTATATTTTAGTGCAGTGCCCTGAATTACAAAGCAAAGTCCTACCTTAGAACAACCATCTGAGATTTATTTTTTTTTTTTAGTTTGAACAAAATTTTAGGGAGTTTCTGTCTATCTGGCTGTGATATCTGTAGCACTGATGAACAAATTAGAAAATTTTAAAAATCAGCCTTTTTTCTGCAACCCAGGAACATTCTGAAAAGATGAAAGAGCCCTGAGGCACTAAATAAATGTGTCTTCTCAGGTAACACTTCTGAGATCTCTATGTGCAGAGAAAATTCAGAGCTCAAGAATGCTGTCATTCCCACTCCCACTTGACTGTTACCCATGAACTGAGAGGCATCTCTCCTTCTGCTCTCTGGAGAATAACACACAGAACCTGTAACTACCTTGGCACTTGGTATCATCCATGATAATCTCAATCTCATAGTGGATATTTGGGACAGAATGCACAGGGAAAGCACTGTGAGCTCTGCAAGATCAGCTCTGGACTTTGTTGGGGACATTCTTATCATATAGTACAACATGAGATGCTATGTAAAGATTGTGATATCGTGGTGCTCCAAAACTGTGAATTCATTGTGAATTCATGAACTTGTGCTTAGTATGGTAAAAGCTGTTGGAAAAATTCAGGTGTGGGGGCTGATCTTAAGTATATTTCACATTTCAATACCATGTGCTTTTCACCAAATAATTTAAACTTGTGTGAATTGCTACTAGAGGCTTAGCTAAACCCTCTGGAAAATTCTATCAAGGAACTAAAATTAATTTTGAGATTATTTCCTTAATCTGTGAAGAATAACAAAGCACCTGTCTCTCTGATACACTTTACATTAAAGCTTTGTCACCTTGACCCGGGGTAAAAAAGTGGTGGCCTGTTAAGAGTGTGCTGTGATGTGCTGGAAGCTCTGGAGAGTATTAATAAATATGAAGAGTGAGTCATAGTTTGTAACATGTGGATCTTTTTCATTCCAGTGTGAGTTACTTTTCACATTGTAGGTCAAGGGCAGTAAATACCTGTCCCTCAAGTGCATGCCAGGTGGTTTGGGTTACTGGCTTCTTACCCTGTGACCTCTGTGAGCAGCAACTTGGGTGTTTCATACATGTCCATATTTAGAATCAAACTAAAGTAATGTGTGGCTCTGAACTGGGGGGAATTTTCTCATCACATACGAAACATAAGGAGAAGCAAAGCTTTACTCTTTCTGAAGGAAGCTGTAGTAGCCTCTTTGCATCTCAAAATCTTGACTGAGACATGTCTGTTGAGCTTTTCTTAGTGTGTGCACATAATGATTTTTATCTTTTAACACTTTTATATGCAAACATATTCCTCTAATTAAGTTGTATTTTAGGGGTGGTCGTTCTGCCTTTAAAATATTATTTTATATGTAAGGTGGAGGCCTGGATTAGTCAGAAAATGATACTATTACATTGTTTCTTTGTAAATGATTTCAGCTGTCCTGCATAAACCTAAAATGGATATAGGATCACTAATGTGCTTACAGGCTGCAGCTTGTTCCTAATATATCTCTACCGATTCCTGTAACAAACTGATACATTTGGCTTAATGTGGGGTTTTTATCTGAGAGTCTGACCAGTAGCTGCAGAAGGTGATCTGTGATATTGTTTTACCATGGAAATGCAGAAATGCAAAGCCTTTACTACAGCTTGGCTCATTAGAGTGGTTTTGATCATGAAAAAGGCTGTTGGATGAGCCAAGGCAATAGGATGTGTATGTAGAAAGAAGCAGTAATATCAAAGGTCCTGCCAGGCAAAAGCAGAAGGAGTCAAATTCACTTGGGATGTCAGCATAACTTTGCTGTCCAGTACTTTCTATCGGTCCCAAATACAGAAGTGTCACAGCAGCAAGTTGGAAGGTTCAGTTCCCAGTTCTGTCAACAGCATTCTGTGCAGCTAAGTAAGAAGAAAAGTTTATTAACTGATCCTGGATCTCTTCCTCTTTATTTTGCGCAAAATAAAATGGACTAGTCTTCAACCAAGAAAAGAGCAAAATGTGGGTATTTTAAGCTTTGAGAAAAACTAAGTTAAAATAAACATCCTTACCCATTACTGCTATTTGTTATTAGCAAATACACCACAGTCCAGTGTGAGCACACTGTTCATCACTCCCAGCTTTTGCTGGTTTGTGCTGCTTTGGAATTACTGTGCAAGCCACTGTCGCTCGTTTATGCAGCAAAGCAGAAATGTAGCATGAACAGGTGGTTTTCTCATACTGTATACATACCAGATCAATAAAATATCCTGATATTCATATCCCAAAAAACACATAATGCACAGCTTGCTTCATTTCACGTGGTATAAAATTAGGAATTACTATTCTGAAGCTAATTGGCTTACACCACTGTTGGCATAATGTAAGTACAGTCAGATTTAGGCCAATACTTTGTTAAATACAAAGGCATTTTCCTTAGTTTTAGATTTAAAACATCTACCAGTGTATTTTTTGGATATTCTCCAGCATGTAAAAGACCAAAAAATCAGTCTTGCAAAACCAACTCTGAAGGTGGCCTGAGGAGAACAGACTTCATCCCTGAATATTTAGTATCTGGGGGGGAAAATATAATTTCTACCACTCATATGCTATTTTCAGATGAGAATATACTCTGCAAATCCTTTTTTTATTCCCTCTGCTCCCTCCCCCATACACTTTGGTAGTAGTACTTTTAGGGATGTACAGCAATAAAATCATGTTCAAGGGTCAGCCAAAATGCCGTGGTACCCTACTAAGTCCTAGTGGATCAAGTATAATCCCTAAATTTTTTCCTTTCTTAATCATGTTGGGGTTTTTAGGCATACATTCACTTTTTGTTCTTATTTGTAGATGGTGTGAAAAGAGCCTGTAGCAAGCTTTCATAAATACGTTCTGCCCTTTGCACTCTAAAAACTATTGACTTTTTCTGTGTGGTTGATGTTGTTTGTTCTCTTTCTCTTCTTTTAGGTCATAACCAACACCGCTGCCAAGTTAGTATCACTTCTCTATAGTGCCAAATGTTTGTGTTATGCTGTGTATGTGAAGATGTGTTTTCTGGGGTAGCATGATCCCCTGTGCTCGTGCTGTGTCTGCTTGCAAGTGGAAGTGTTTTTCTAAAAATCTGCTTGGTGTGGCCAGCATCATGTGCTGCCTCTGGTGTCCAGCAGTGCTCCCTTCTGAGCACACCAGCACTCGGTGATGCTCTAATGCTGTGAATGGAGTTGGCGTCTGAGCTTGCTCAGTTCTTGTGAAGGCTTTAAAAAGTGTTTGTTTCTACAGTCCAGGTTTAAGTCCTCTTAAATCTTTCAGTAGCCTTCATGCCTTCAGAATTTGTTGAGCGTTATCTGAGCCTTTTTTAGTGTATTATTAGCAATGTACTTTGAGCTTTGACATAAAATTAATTTCCTAAGCCCCACC